AAAAAAAAAAAAAAAAAAAAAAAAAAGTGCTCTCCTCGAAAAGCTTTAAATTTTGTTCCCAAAGGAGCAAACCACCTTTGGACATCCCGATGCCAGCTGACCTGGAAGAGGTCATCGCGCCCCTGCGCGGTTTACAATAAACCTGCTGAGAAAGCGCGGGCGGGAAGGCGCAGCGGCCGATTCTTTCTCCCGCCGGCTCAGCACCCGCAGAACCGCGGCGCGAGGATCGGGGACGAGTCTGCTTCATGTTACTTTCGCTCGGTGTTTGTCTCTAATTCCCTCGCCCGCGAGTATTTAATTGCCTATTTTACATTTTCATTACAGGATCCAAGTTTACACAAACGGGATCTATTTTCTATCTCCGGAAGCAATAACAGAACGAATTACAGCCCAGGACTTATTCCTTGAAAAGGTCATTTCGGTTTCTATCAAAACAGAAAACATAAAAAGCGGCGGGGCTCTAGTCGTGTTTCCTAACACTTCCCCAAAACGCTGTGAGCCCCGCTCTGCAGGGGAAGCGCTTGCTGGGACAGTGAGGCCGCAGGAAAAACCGACCTTGTTGTTTTCGGGGTGGGGTGGGGGCGGGGAGGCTCAGAGCCTGGGCGAGGGAGAAGATCTTTATTTTTGGAAGAGCCCTAATGCATTTATTCCAGAACTTAACCCAGAAAGGGGGGGTTAAGGCAAGTAAAAAGATTTAATTAACATTAACTTTTAAAAACAATGAAACGCGGCTCTGGGCGGAGACGAGGGAAGGGGCCTGCCCCGCGCGCTTTCCGCCCTCCTTCAGGAGTTAGCGCTTCCAAGCGCAGCGGTCGCCGCCGTCTTCTGTTTGCGGTGCCCACGGGCTCCGTCAGGTTTTCAAGTTTTTGAAACCGGGTTGTTTTTTTCCTTAAGAGCCCACACTGTGCCCACAACGAAACCAGCCTCGGGGGCGCAGGAGAGCCCCTGGAAAGCCACCGGGGCGTCACTGCGAGGAGCGGGGACCCGGGGTCCGCGACCTGTGACGCGCGGGCGGTAAACCCCACGGTCCCGCCGTGGGAGCCGCGAGCAGGAAGCCGGGTCCGGGGGGCTCTGCGGCCCGGAGCGGGCGTGTTTCAGACGCGGGGGGGTCAAGTCCCGGGCGAGCCCAGCGCCCCGTGGCCCGAGGGAGGCCGGAGCCTCTCCCTGCGCGCTGAGCCCGGGAGCGCGGCAGCCTCTCCACGCCTCCAGGGCCCGTCCCCGGTTACGCGCGGGTGTCACCGCCCCCGGCTGCCCCGAGGTGGGAACGGCCGAAGTGCGGTGGCAGGGAGGGTCAGCCTCCTCCTGCTGCCCGAGGCCCGCGGGTCAGCGCCCTGCTCCTCGGACGGA